CGAAAAATAAGTATTGGAAATAATGAATTTAATACATTTCAGGAACCAAGAAAAATTGAAATCTGTGTGTTTGCTGATATCAGCCCATTTATGGTCTATGGCAGAGAGGATAAGGTCAGGTGCAATGTTAGTGAAGAGGGAAACAACATCTAAACTTATAAGGAAAAATCAGATGGTACATTGAGGGAGTTAAGTTTGGGAATGAGTTCAAAAGAATTTTTGACAAAATGGGGAGAATTATGAGTGATATTGGATAGAATATCATAGAACAACAACAAAACATAGAAAACAAACAAATTCCCAAACCTCTCTCTCTACAACTAAAAACTTACAATCCCATTTTCCCAAAACTTTATTGTCTTCCCAAAATCCACAAAGATGGCTTTCCCCTTCGACCAATAGTTGCTGACTTAAATTCCCCTCTTTGCAAAATTATCAAATTTATTAGTTCAATTTTGTCCAATATCACTCATAATTCTCCCCATTTGTCAAAAATTCTTTGAACTCATTCCCAACTTAACTCCCTCAATGTACCATCTGATTTTTCCTTTATAAGTTTAGATGTTGTTTCCCTCTTCACTAACATTTCACCTGACCTTATCCTCTCTGCCATAGACCATAAATGGGCTGATATCAGCAAACACACAGATTTCAATTTTCTTGGTTCCTGAAATGTATTAAATTCATTATTTCCAATACCTATTTTTCGTTCAACGACTCCTTTTTTAAACAAAAATTTGGCACCCCAATGGGTTCCAGTTTGAGTGCCCCTCTTGCTGAACTTTGTATGCAGTTCCTAGAGAACTCTACTCTTAATACCTTGTCATATGTACCTCTTTTTTACAAACGTTACGTTGACGACATTTTAACTTGCATTCCTACTTATAACATAACCAATTTCCTAAATTCTTTTAATAATTTTGACTCACACCTTAGTTTTACCTTAGAGACTCAATTTAACAACTCCATTAATTTTTTAGATATTACTCTTTTCATAAATAACAACTCTATCACTACATGTTGGTATCAAAAATCCACTTGGTCTGGACGCTATTTAAACTACCATTCCTATCACCCCAAATCTACCAAGATTGCATCCATCATCAACTTACTAGATCATGCCATCCTTCTTTCTCATCCATCACATTGGGAAAAAAATATTAATTTGAAATATATTCTACCCTTCAAAAATAAT